CCCCGGCCCCCCGCCTAGACACCCGCGGAGCGAGGCCGCGCCGCCGGCTCAGCGGACCCGACTGCGGACTCAGACCTGGGGTGGGGGCTCCTCCTCGTCCGCTTTCCAGTCGGGGGACTCCAGCAAGTCATGAACTGTCCTAAGCCTCAGTTTCCTCGTCTGTAAAATGGGGATGATGATGTTGATGATGATAATACTGGTAATACCTGCTTCTAGATTTGTTGGAAGGAGTGAGCGTCTGTTGCACGCCCTTCCCCCAGGAAGCCCACCCCACCCACCATCATGACGGCCCAGTTCAAGGCGTAGAGATGATGGTGGCTGTCTGCATGTTCTGGTCTGTTTCTCCCAGATAATGACTAGCTCTGTGACCTTGGCCAAGCCATTGTTCCTCAGCTTTGGAGGGAGACTAGAAACTAGATGTTCTCTGGTTAGATGACTCTGGAATTCGTCCGTATATTTATCAAACATTGTGCCAAGCACCAAGCTAGAACAAGTCTGAGTCTCTGCCCTCAGGTAATGTACAATCTAGTGGAGAGGATAAGCAAGAAACAGATAAACAGAAAAAAATGTGGTAACTGCAAAGGAAACAGACAATTGTTGACATTGGGAACTGTAGGGGGGTCAACTTAAAGCTGGTAGTCTAGGAAGGGGGCAGAGAAGCCTAGAGCTGAAAGAAGAGAAGGAATTCGGTGGAGAGTAGAGGATGGGAGTAGGGGGTGGGGGGAGAAACAGAGTTCCAGGCAGAAGGAACAGCATGTGCAAAGGCCCTGAGGTAGTATTAAGCTTAAAGAAATTGGGAGTAAGCAAAGAACTGAAAACAGCAGAGTGCGGTAGTAAGGGTTTAAGTTCAAAGCCCAAGCCTCATTCACAGCCCATCTCCCACCCTACACAGCTTAATCAGTCTTTTAGCAGAGAGAACCTGAGCTAGGAGCCATCCCATCTTGCTGCGTAACTTTTAACAAGTCTCTTCACGTCCCTGGACCTCCGTTTGCTCATTGATTTTTGGGACTAATAATTCCACCGTGTCACACAGCCCAGAGGATCCTCCGTGCTATGTATTCAGCAGTCAAATAAACCCTCTCCCACCTTTGGGAGCCAGTCTAGATGGTTTTGGTATCACTACTTCTGACATGAATTTGGGAGAGAACAGACCTGTTGATGTCAGGTGCAGAATTCCCCTGGGAGTTGGGGGGATTGTAGCTTGGAGATTCTAAACTTCCAGCTTTGCAGAGAGTCAGAATTGACATCTGGTGTTCTGGGGTTGCAGGGGACAGAGACTGACCCGGAGTTAGCTAAGCAGAGAAATAATGGATCAGCAGGTTAGCAGGTGCTCACAGAATCAATGAGAAGGCTGGGGGCCCGTCCTCTGGAAAGTGCAGGGACAAGGGAGATGCTCCAGAGGTCTCATTGGCAGGAACGAATTGTAAACCCTTGAAGACTGATGGAATTACGTCAAGACAGACAAACACAGCAAAGTAGAGCTTTCCACGTGTTAGGTACTTCTCTAAGTGTGTAACAGTTGTGAGGTAGATTCTATTATTATCCCTATTTTGCAGATGAAGCAACTGAGGCACAGAGAGGTCATGCAGCTTGCCCAATGTTGGACAGCTAGTAAACTGTGGAGTCCAGAATTGGCCAAGGCTCTCCATTTGCAGAAATTATGTTATTAACCATCTTCCTGTGCTAACTGAATGAATCCCAAGACCTCGTGTCACTCCTTGCTAGATTCAAAGACTTAAAAGAGAGATTCTAATGGGGTCATGTGCCCGAGGTCCTACTAACACTGAACATACCAGGAATAATTGGTCACCCAAAAGGAAATCAGATTGCAAAAGAAGGGTGGGAATGGATCTGCAATGGCTTGTAAACAATAGGCGCTCATTAAGTCCACCCCTTGGGGCTCTTGAAATCCTTTGTTCCTTTATTCTCAGGCACGTTCTTCCAAAAAGACTCTCTACCGGCATGGTACAACTCCACGTGCAAGCAAAGGTGTGAACACACACGTCCATACACCCTTGTATGGTTTGGCCCCACAGTGTGTGTGACCTCAAGGAGGTTCACTTTCTGAGCCCCAGAGTCATCCTTTGTAAGACAGAGAGAGAAATATTTACTTCCTCATATGACTGTGGTTATAAATAAGTTAATCAATGCGAGGTGCTTTGCACTGTGGCTGGTACACAGCAGAATTAGTATACAACACACGAAACGGTGTTGTTTATGTTAGGAGCCAGTGGTTGTGAAATCAGCCTCCAAATGCACAGGCTTCACTGCTGGGTTGGACACGGTTCATCTCTCAGGGGCTTTCCGAGGATTTTTCCAAGGACTGTTGAAGTATTCATTTCCTCTCTCTTTGGTAAATGAATAACTGACTCATGCTCCAATGCCTATGCTAGATTTGGGGAAATAACAAAACCCATCACTGGTCTTACACACAGTGGAGTGGAAAACAGGGAAGCGATGTGGAAATGCGCTCTGCTACTGATTTGCTGGGCAGCCTTGTGTAGATCCCTCCCCTCTTGAGACCACAGCTTCCTCAGCGTAAAATGGAGGTGACAATCCTCTCCTAGTGAGACTTTTGTGAGAATCCAGTGAGATAATGCATTGACAGGGCTTAACACAGTGCCTGGCATATAATAGGTGCCCAGCGAATGGCGGCTCTACCTATGGTTCTGAGATTCCCAGGGCCACGTGCCAGGACGTCTCACCAGGGGACAGTCTCGCTTGGGGGAAGAGAGTAACCAAGTTTAAACAGAAGGTCATGGGATTCAGAATTCATTCATTCAGTAAATACTGATTTGTTCCTACTATAAGGATAGCAGATACTTGGTACACACATGTACAGTCACCCCTATCCTACCCATGGCAGACATCATTAATCAATTGTGGAACTTCTTGCTGAACTTAGAAGCAGCCTCAGAATCCTCCACAACACAGAACCCAGGCAGCTGCTGCCAGTCAATATGAGTTGGCGTTGGAGACAGTGGTTGTCATCTGTGGGCCCTAATGTATAAGGAAGATTGGCATTGCAGAAGACACAGACTCTGGAGGCAGAAGGCTTGGGTTTGGATCTTGTCTTAAAACCCCATGGAGACCCTTATTATAATGAGTAGGTGCTGAGGCACTGTGTCAGCTATGGAGTGTGCTGCTCAGATTTCTCTTCAAGAAAGAGCTTGCTGCAGGAAATTCAGTGAGCTGCGGATGCCTCCAGGATACAGCTTTTGAGCTGAGGCCACATGCTTCCTGGGCAGCCCCCAGCTGAGCACAGTGTGCACGAGGTTTACCATTTCTGCGCGACGTGGGACTCTTCTCTGAACAGTCTTTGTGCCAGAGCTCCCCAATGGGCTGGCTAGACTTCCTCAGTGCTGCACCACAGTCTGAAGTTCTCTTTACCCAATCCTTCTTTCTTCCTGATATCAGATATCAGACCTGCAGCATGGTCTGAAGGCTCTCCTTTGCGTTTCCTGCTCCCTCTCCCCTTTATCCTCACAGGGATTACGCCAATGAATCTCTTGCACCTAACTCTGTCTTTGGCATCTGTTTCTCAGAGGATGCAACTAACAGCACTGAGCCACGTAAGTCTGGGCTGGAAAGGAGTGTGCTCCTCTTCTCTGATGGTGAGAGTAAGGGGTGGCACAGACATTACTGAGTGGGCTGGGGACAAAGAGTAACATAACCCACAGCCTCCCCTGTGTGAAATTGGCTTTATCCATCAAGGACTCTTGATTGTAAGTGACAGAAGTTCAACTCAACCTCGCTTAAGTAAAACAGGAACTGTAGGGTCACAAAAGTGAGAACTGGGGCCAGAGCGCTGTCATCATTCTTCTGGTGGTTTCTTTCCTACAGCCAGAGGAGATGGCTTCCAGAAGCTCCAGGCCCATGTGGTCTCAGCTCAGCAATCCTAGGACAACAACAACATTTTTTTCCCACATCTCTGTACTAATCCTAGGGAAGACCCTGGTTGGCCTCGCTTGGGTCACATGTCTATTCCTGAACCAATCACTGTGGTCAGGGTAAGGAGGATATTCTGATTGGCCAGAATAGATTCTGTGCCCACCCCTGGGTGGAAGCGCACGATGGTAGCTCTACCAGGACTGCATGGAGTGAGGAGAAGTTCTTCAAAGAAACCAGAAGGAGGGAGATGGAAACACAGGTAAGCCACCAAAAGCTTTGGTGATCCTCGCCCACTTCATAAACACTAGGAAGAAAAAAGACACGGTTTTATCCCTCAACGACCTTCTCTTGTTGCAGGGGAAAATAAGGTGTTTAAATGAGTTTCCTGACACCAGGTCTTGGGAGAGGAGTGGAGGAGACCTGCGGACACACAGGTACCTCACACACTCTCCCCCACCCCCCTAGGATGCCCGCAGTCTGGCGGCAAGGACAGAGATGAAAACAACCCATGAGAACAAAACCTCTCAGAGCCCCTGAGACTTAAAACTTACTTTGTTCAACTGTCCCCATCTACAGCAGGGAGATCCCCCCAGAGAGAGGTGACTCATGCAGTGTCACACTGCCCATCCAGGACAACTGCCTGTCCTACTCAGTCTGCTCTTAAAATTGCTCATGGTAGAGGAGCCCATGATCGATATGTAGGGGCCCTGAGTTCAAGTCCCGGCCTGCCCACTGACTCCCCGAGGGATCACAGGGGTTGGCCTAAATTCTCCCA